AACTGTTTGTCAAGTTTCATATCACTGCTTTCACGAAATGGTGTGAATTATGACATGCGATGAACTCATACTATGGTATATCTTAATTTTATCAACACTGCGAGGAATTGTGCACGTGTGTCGATCACGCCGTGCTCGGAAAAGTCGGCTTCTGTATGGCATAACCAGGCTTCTATGTTGTCTGGCCAGAAGAGCATCAGTTGAAACGAAGGCGGGGACAAAGTCTCAAGTTTAAGTACTTTGGGTGTCTGTTCAGTCATGATGAAATATGAAGTACAAGAATGAATGAGGGAAAAATATATATATATATATCGAAAAACACGAAAAAATGTCAAAATGTATAAAAAATTAAAAGGTGGCAATGATATATAAAATCCCAGAAAGGAACAGAGTCACATTTTACAATTTGGTGTACCAGATCACGTGAAGCTCGCCAATGAAGATGCCACAGGTATTCAGAGTTGGACAACGCTTTAACCAGTAACACCTCATATGAAGCGTACCCACCAAGCGAAATCAAAAAAGAGAAGCGATGAAGTTCGAAGATATATTTGATGGACTATCAGTATATCGAGAATCGTCTGATTTATTCTGGCTAGCGATTGCAGTAGATGTTGAACACGACGTTCCCACTCGTGATCTGGTGCGGATGCATGACCGAGCGCCTTCAGCTAGGTGAGTCCATTAAAACTACTGTGGTCAGCATCTAATGTCGAAAACTTACAAAGCTATTTATTTTGAGGATTTATTTACCGCTACAGAATGATTACTTGAAGCGTCGTCTAACTAAATTTTATAAATACCTATTTATTTGATATGTTCAATAACCCGCTATCTCTACTAACGATAACGCTAAACTTATAACTAGATTATTTTTGACTTCCATGTAACCAGGGGTTCACTACTGACAACCCAGCTACTCAACCAATAATCAAATCTAAATTACAATAACAATCACTACAAATAAACGTTGTTCTAACCTGTCTGCATAGAGCACGCAAAGGTTCGTTCAGAAGTTAATATTTGGTTGCTTTATAACAATTCCAAATCTGGAAGGGTTCTTCAATTCACAATCAAAAAATGCACAATTCCAGTCAATACAAGCAACACAATCAAAAGGAGGAACAAATTAATATGTCTGCCTCCAAGACTAAGTACCAAGTAAAACATCATAAATGCAGTTCAGGAAGAAACACGGAAACTTAGTTAAGGCGTAAGAAAAATAAAATTTGTAATAAAATACAAATATTCACAATTCAGATGGAATCAAAAAGACTAACAATTTACAACCAAAGGAGTCAATAGAAACAAATTGCAAGTGTATACATGGAGGGGTTTTCATACAGAAAACATTCAAAATGGATCTTACAACCAGTATAAACTATTGGTAGTGTTAGAAAAGGCATAACTTCTTGAAAATATCCCAGTGAGTGATACGAGGAGTGCTAGTAATTCTTAATGTGCATAACTCATTCCACTGTAGCATGGTAGGTTCAAACAAAGTCTGTAAACTTTCACTATGCGATTATCTGGTCTTCTACAGTCTTCATCTCCATATGGTATTCTATATATTACGTTTTTTTTGTGGATCATTTATTTGAAAAACCACGCCACCTATCTTATTAAGCCACAAATTTCTTTTTAAAAATACTACATATGATTGGATTACTAACTTGTTCGTACTTAATACCCGATTGCTATGTCGATAAATAAAAGATCTGCCACAAATGCTCAATGTTCAGCCATTTACGACTTGACGTTATCGGTTCCGTACTATTGTATGGCTTGAGCCTACCAGATGTTTTCAGATTTCGACCATCCGAATAAGGGCGAAATCATTACGTAGACAATTTACGTGAGAAAACAAGCACATAACTAATCAAACAAGCCAAGTTGAACATAGCATCCCCGTTGACAGTTGCGCAGTCGTGAATTTGTGTTCATCAGACTACGGCAATCTTTAGACTGAATAGTAGTAAAATTTGAAGGAAATTCAATACAGAAACATATAAGTTAGCTTCCACAAGTTTCATTTAGGAATATCACGATGCTCGGAAAGGAGTAACATTGCGCACCTACTAGGCGTTATGCCTAAACTATTGTCGAAAACTAGTTATTCAGGCCTGGATATCATTGATAGTAATCTTTTTACGCCACTGTGAAAACCATGAGTGGGAGATGGGGCAATACAAAATATTGCAGATTCAGGGTGAGTTATTCTCAAAAAATATCATCTGGTGTCAAACAAAGCATTATTAGATCATCTTTCAGCAAATATGCGAAGTAAAGTAAATATCGCCTATCAATGTTGACATGGCAGTTAGATCCATTAACGAATTATTAAAAGCTGGTTAGGACTGGTATTGGCAAGAACACCTATGAATACATGGGATTTAATTCTACGTCAGAATTGTTTCATTTATGTATGCTAATAAATCATCAGACCCAGTCCATTACAGTAGACTGGCAGTGATCTGACTCCATAGTCTCCCAGATCATACGTCAAAGTCACATCAATATCAATAACTACTCGTCCTATCGTGGAAGAAAACAACTGAGTTGACGATAGAATAATGGCTTTAACGCTAAAACTGAAAAGTTGTATAGAGAGCTCATGCATGTACAACCGAGTCATGCCGTCTCAGTTAAGTGTTATTGGCCTTTTAGAAGTGTTCGGTAGCCAATCCAAAACTCAGTTATTGTGTTCAACTTCAAGAATCATGTGGCTAAAAACCAGTGTTATTGCAATACCGTAACAAATAATAAAAAAGCAAACTAAGTGGTAGATTTGAAATCGATCATGACTATACAGAACTACACAATAGACAGTTGTATCCACCGTTTATATACGTATTATTCATTTTAACTTTGAGGCTGTTCTCCGTCAGGTGAACTGTGAAAATAAGGGAACGATGATTCTTATTTTAAGAGGGGCTTCGGAACGAAAATTCTTATGTTCTTAAAGTAGAGTAAAAAATCCCGAGCTACCTAAAATAAATATAAAAAGGGCGTTCAAGAATACATGACTTCGTAGATATTTAACTAAGAATGAACCGTTCATTGACCTTCCAACTTGGACGAAATACCGTTTATGTGTTTTAACATGTCAGTAAGTGATACTCACCTTGCAGCAACTTCAAACCAATTAACATCTGACGCGCCGTCAGGAACCTGTTGATTGTAAGACTTTTATTCTAATAAGCCCGTCCTCGTATTTGATTATTCTCATTTATAAATCATGTGGGCTATAGGCTTTTGTCTACTCATTTCGTTGTTAGGTATCTGTACTTGAATTCCTTACAAAATCCTTTAATCAACAGAATTTCAAAGGCTTACATATTTTCATTTAGTATGTTCTTTCCATAAACTGCAAGCTACATGCCTGATTTATATTTTATGTCAATTATGACCTGGATTTCGTGTAGTTTATTACACATTTTATGTATATTTCACTTTGCAACATGACTTGGGGAACAACGTCCATATAGAATAACTGTTTTGCGGACAACAATTTTTGAGTAATTTCCAGTTTTAAAAATACGCTGGACCAGCTCAAAGTGAGCGTTCCATGTCTGTCTATTCTGTGGGTGTGCTGGACAGTATAATAACGATGTATTACTGATCCAGTCTTGTTTTTTAGGTTATTACTTACGCGTTATAATTTCATATTTGAATTTTCTGTTAGCATTATATCTCCACAGTCTTTCTTTATAAGCCAGTCGATGATGTTAAAGTCGGTTCATCTGTTAGTTTCAAGATTCGATGCCTCACATAAAACAGAACTGTGATTTGAACTAGTTTTTGATTAGTGAACACTTACCTTTTTCCCTGGAAACGGAAGAAAATTCCCGTAACTCTTCTCAAATGAATGTATCGGAAATTGATGCTAACTAAAAACAAATCGGTATTTACATAAAGTTGTGTAAGTCAGTCTCCGTTACATGATTATTATGATCATCACTATCACTTAAGAAATAAGGCTTTCCCTGTCGAATCATTGATTTTCAATCGTACATATTGTTCACGGCTTTATATAATTACTTTATGCCATTTCGTTACGTAAAAAATGGTCTCGTAATGAAACACTGTTAGTCGGAGTAATATTTCAAGAAAATATTAGTTCCTAAATATTTCAGGAAAATTGGTTTGATTTGAATCATGTGAAAGGGTTGATCCTGTATTTATGACACTTAAATGCCATCGGAAAGTCACAAACACTTTTTTGTTCTAAAAATGCATTCTCTGCGCTTAATAGTGACATTTATCAAGAAAATAACTCCAGATTCTTATGATAAGCCATAATAACTGCAGGTCAGCCAACAACTTCATAACTTAAGTTATTTACAGAAATACCTAGGATATGCTGCCCCATGTTGTGAACTAGATGTGTTAAAAATATCAGCTGTTTAATCCAAGCTTATTAAATTTGAATGTTGATATACCTTTAAAAATGGAGGCTTATAAGTTCCATTGCTAGGATAATACTTGGAGAATACTGCAAAGTAGAATAAAATGGATTTCTTTTGTACACTTAGTTTGGTTAATTGTTAAAATAATGGTAACATCTGGTGTTCACAAATTCCCACTTTACGTTAGTTGAAATGCACTTCTAACTAGCGCTTTGTTTTGTTTAACATTTTATTTTGATGTATCCTATGTGTATTTACTCTCGTGGTTTTAACTTTTCCTGCAGGACAGCTGTTTCCCCGAAAGAACAGTTTGTGATCTACAGGACAAAAATTATTCAAAAAGCGACTCGTAATACAACTATTCACGTTAGATGGGATATCTTACTTTTTCTATCGCCCATACCTTGGTCTGCATACGTCGGATTCCTGTTGGCAATAGTCCTGAAGTGGACCAGATGTATTTTTCACCCTCTGGATAAACGCTAGAATACTTGACTGAGTTGTTCTTAGGACGTTGTGATTATAGGATTATAACCACATATCCACCGTATAAAGCTTTTGGGAGTTTATGATTCAACGCATCAAATAACTATGGGCCGCAAGAGGCATACTGTTGGCAGCGTGTTCCGAAATAGGTCAGATAAGTCGTCTCGGTCCTCAGGCACTTCTTCTTCCTCTTCTTCGTCTTCATCAAAATCTAGTATAAAGCCCGTGAGTTGTGTTTAATCTACCATATTTTTCCTCCAGATGTTTTGTGAATAAATTATTTCTACAGTTGAATTCACGAGTCAATTTCAGCTAGACCACCAGTGAAAACCTGAAAGTAGTGGACAGCCGTTTCGTCCTATTATGAAACTTCTCAGCAGTGCGCATCCACGATTCCTCATGTTGTACATGGACCAAGGACCTTCGGTCTCACACACAAAGGCTCAACGTCTAGACCACTGACCGTGCATTCAATGATGTTAATGTTCAAATACAATCGATCCATGATCTCGTGCGACCCTTCATCCATTATCTGAGGTGGACATTAACATCACTCACATTAAGAAAATAGCTTATATTCGGGCTGTATACGTTGCATAAATCTTGACGTGTTATGTTGAGATCCTGAATCAATCATTCTAATCCGGCTATAAAAATTAATTCCACGCATTTATCTGTATTTTTTCTGGATATTAGCAAATCATATGATGATTAGGAAACAATTAATGGTGATTTGTCAGACTATATTGCTGCCACGTTAAGTGACTCGTGGAGATGTTTTTAATTAATTTTTGTCACTGACTTTGATCATACATTTGGTGATCAGTTGTAAAATGACTTCATATTTCTGTACTTCGGTTTTGAAGCCAAAGTTTTTCTCTTAGTTTTTACATGAAAATGATACAGCATACAAACTATTATGATGAAATCCATATACGTACATACATACATACATACATACATACATACATACATACATACATACATACATACATACATAACTTTTGAACTTTTGGCTAACATTTGAAAAATGATAACAACCATGGTCTAAGTAGAGTAATTTAACTAACTTTCAGCTTTACAACAAATATATCTTATTTGTTATGTGACTTAGATAGGTATTATTATTATTATCATTATTATTATGGATGATATAATACTGATGGTGTGAAAATTATCATACATCATCCACCTTACCGTGAAACCAATTTCATTTATCTTATCTAAAAATGCAACTTACAATTGATCCATCTACATAATATGCATGATAAATATTTTCTACTTTAAGCATTCATCACTTTTTCCAAAAGTATTTTCGTTTTGTATATATATATATATATATATATATATATATATATATATATAAGGCGATAGATTGAGAACATCTATTCTAAATTAATGACGTCAAAAGATCAATATGGCGGATTTTTGAACTGTTGATTATTTTATTCATTAAATCTGCTTTACTATTATAGTGATGCCAATTTCGTGATGAAAGCATTCTTCTAGTTAATTTCTATTCAAATGAAGTCGGTGATAATTGATAAAGTACCAAGCACGATTTTATATTGAGAAAATTAGCCATATTTCATGTCAGTAAAGTGGTAAGAAATCGAAGAAATGAAAGGTATAGAAGTTAGAATAGTATGTCTTGTAGTGGAAAACCGTTCTCAGGAAATATAGTTCAAAATGAATAAATTTAAGAGGTGACGAAAAACATGAAATAATATCTAAATACAAGATTTAGGAAAATATGGAAGGTTAATAGATCTTCACCAGTCACTAACCTTGAGCCATGTCACTGACTTTCTTGAACCATGAATTATGATTATGCGGTGGACCCCAACTACGAAGCTTACACCCCTGGTTATGGCTTATATCTCAGTATGGTTATACCTAGCTTCATTTTAATATACCCTTATACTAAATAACATTTTAATTTTGAATTAGTAAGTGATGGAGATGGTCGTAAAGCAGTAAAAAAACAGACTCCCACTCACCATTCATCAATTATCCATAATCACTATAGAGTCCGGCACAAGTGTGCTTTAGCAAACGTTGCTGTACAATATTAGCACGAAACGATGAAATTAACCAAGTTACTAATAAACCTGTCTAAATAATATCGTAGCAATGATCATAGAAAAAACTAAACATTAAAAATATGGTTTGTAAAGAAATATCAAAAGACTATTGCATAGTGAAATATATGAAGTTAAAATCAAGAGGAAGATAAAATAAACATTTCATCTCCTTGATAGATTGTAAATAATAATAAACATCAAATAATAGGAAATAAATTTTTTTTTCTGTAACCTAGAAAAAACTTGGATCTCAATTTATTAATAATATGTTTATTTTCGTTTGTTTATTCTTAATAATTGTTTAATTTCATTATAACACTACAAATGCTAACTTGATGTCAACTTTATGGCCAGTCTCAATCAAATGTTTCGCAATAGAGGAGAATGTCTGTTTATCCTGTGATCTTATTTGATCATTGGAATCCATTTGTTTCTGCAGCCATTTTGGTATGTGTTCACCCACTCTTAATTACAAATCACGATTTATCCTCCCTATGTACGTGTTTCCGCACATACATGTAAATTGATAGACACAATGGGATGTGACACAATCGCTTAAGTGCTGTTTGGGCTTTTGGTGAAAAATAGACCTTATCTTTTCAATAATAACGTACATAAGGACGTATACTAAGGTTTATTGAAGCCTTGGCTATACGGAAATTGAAACCCCCTTTATGCATTCAAAAATAATATCATTATGTTACATAATTTCTCGATATTCACTTTCTCCTATTCAATACTCTTCAGTGTCAATTATTTGTTTCTGCAATAGATAAAGTTGGTTATAACTTGATATTTTTTTAGTTTTGTAAAATGCAAATCAATTCAACATCACTTTTAACATCTAATACTTAAATTAAAAAAGAAATTTTAATAAAATATAAATTCTACTGATTTTGTTTTATTGAATTAGATACCATGGATTGAACAAAATATTGTATGCTTGGAATGTGCTAAATTTGTTTTTGCTCGTCATTCAAAATCCAAGTGAGTAATTAATAAATTAAAATTCTCATTTCAATAACTATTTAGAATTTATATCTAGTTTATTTTGATTTCTTAAAGGAATTTATTGCCTATTCATGCTTATTCAGTCAACCTTAAGCAGTTAATGAATAGTAACCAATGTTATTTTGTTCAATTTTTAACAATGGTAAAATTCCCTCGACCAAGTACACTTTCCTTGCTGTTAAGTATTTAAAAGTTAATCGACAAAGTAAGCCATGAAACTAGATTTTATGTTACTTGCGACTCATTTTTACAGAAATTAATGGTTCTTATATTTTTCGAAATGTCATTACATAAAATCACCATCAGATACACTCATTATAAGCTATTTATGGTTTCTGTTGGTTACTTCTAACCAGCTAATTTCGAACTCAGTCTGTTTTGGTAGTCTTTTGAGAAGCCTTGGAAATAAATGACTATGGAGTCTAATCTGAAGAAAATGTGGCTAAATGGAACTCCTGTGTCGAAACTAAATATTCGCTTGCTTTATACATTCGGCATTAAACAAAGTGATTAAATGTGAAATGATGATGAAGAAACTCATAGTTCATACAGATACTTATTGTGGTATTGCATTCTACTCCAAGCATACAAAATAGGCTCTGACGATCTTATCCAAAATGATATACAAAACTTTACAATTATATCACTTAATTCTGAGGGACGTAACACATCGTTGCTGTGATGAGTGAATATAACAAATAGTCTGTGAAATCTTCATGTTACTAAGGCAGTCCATATTACACGCAATTTTTATTGTTCTTAATTTTGTTAAAGTTGAATGGCGTAAATATCTTTATTGATTGAAAAATAAGAATCACCGTACGTTCTATTAAACTGTCATAATAACTCAAAAGAATTCCGCCTTATTTTTGTGGCATAAGGTTATTTTTATTATGTAAGTGATTCTCATCGAGAATCAACGTCATCCAGAAAACCAGCGAAAATCAAGGAGCTATGTATGGTTGTTTTGTTACAAGTTCTGAAACTTTTGTTCACTATCCGGTCAGGATCCCACTGATCCAACTCAGTGATCTAAAGTCATCATGATATAAACAAAACCTGAAAGGCTTGAGTAAGGTGCTATGTATAATCTTGGTCGTGTATTGGTAATCGCACTGCTGTTATCAATACAGATACATTGTAACTTCCTCCATACTAGTTTAACATTTCCTAAACAACACGCCGAAAAACCCGTTTACTTATTTTCTGACCCATCTATTTTGTAAATACCAGAAATAAAAAATTGTTTCCGACGGTTTTGTGTATAAAACATCTTTTATGAGTCAGTTAATTCATTAATTTATCATTACTATTTGTTAGGATCCCATTTTAATGTTTAGGAAGTGTCTAGTCATTCCCTACATTGAGTTATATTATAAGCATATAGGTGAACTTGAAAGTAAGCAAGAGCCGGCGAAACAATCGCTTAGCTACAGTCCATGAAGTCATTAATTGTCGGTTTAACCCGTGTTTATGGTACAAATTTTGAAATTGAAATCTGCAACATTAGGGTAATATTTAGGTGATTAGTTTGATTAATATTGATAAGATTTATGGCTAAGGAGCCTATGACCTTTATTTTTATCCTCTTGTAAATTTTAATTTCAAGTACTACTTTACACTTTCCGTGCTATGGATGCCATTTGTTCCTTTTGAACTATATATCCTATATACAGTTTTATTCTACTATTAATACACTTTTGAATCTAGGTTAATCTTTTATAAATGCTTTTTGCTATCCTGAGATGAGTGACAGTCTTGTTTAAAGATCAACTGTGCACTACATTATACCCCGGTCTTGACTGAAAAACCTACTCAGTATTTTCAATAATCAACGTTGACAACGAAAGCCTTTTTTGTTTAGCCTATGAAACACGTTAGATTTGTTTCATTAGCTAAACTTCTTCATATAATTGATCTTATGTCGGCAGTCTAAAACATATCCTTACAGTTACTTAGAGATCAGTAAAACATTTGATTCATTGTTAAATAAAAATGTAACAGTTGTTTTCTTCTTAACTAAACACTACAATAGGAGAAAAAACACTGTGATGAGAAATTAATGAAATAACTTGACAACATAGTTTTTACCGTTTCGAAAAAACACCCAATAATTACTGTTCATAATTATCTCAACAAATGTATTGCGGATTGACAACTAAAACATAAATGTTTTTTTATTTAAACAACTTATGTTTTAAAAAAACTAATGTATTCAGTTAGTTTATTATATGAATGTATCACATCTATCCAGTCTTTCCAAGTAAATCACACTTCAAAAACACATTATATTCAATAAATAAAATAGTAATATGTTCTTCAAAATGATCATTATATATGAGTTGAGATAATTTACAAGAATATTAACTCAATTATTCCTTTTCATACTTGATTATTTGACTTGTTAAGTGAGTATGTCACCGACAAATAACAACTTCAATTATGTAATCATTTAGCAGGTGATTATGTCTTTTACATTTTACTCATTTAGAATTTTAGAGCTAATTCCTATGAGCAAATGATCAGTTGACTACGTCAGTAATTCCGAGTCAATTGTTTCATCACTGCAATAATAATCACTGTTGACTTTACATCGATCGAATCAGGAATGCTGAGCTGCATTCAATTATAAAACGATATGTACTAATACAAACCAGCTACACTAATCGTTCATGAAAACGTTTCAATCCGATATCACAACTTGTGAAGTCACTCAGTCAGTTCTCAACAGAAAACGCACGAAAATGTAGTGGAAAGTTTGAATATTTGTTTAGTTATGGAAATTTACAACGTGAACTGTACTGTTGTGCAAATTATATAATTAATCATACTATTTCATAAATAATGTACCCAACTTTAATGTAATACCGGTTATCCTAAATTTATTCTGCTGACAATGCTTAGTCATTGATAATTAAATTGAGTGTCCTTGGTTGAATCTCCTTCATTTATCATCATCAACATATTTGCGTTTTATCAATCACTTTCGGCCGTTAATCCGTTCATCGAGCGTGTGAGTGCAGTTTTCATGAGAGGTTTTATTTTAAGTCCTAATATGGGCTATATTTTTTATCCAGCAAGTTGAGATGTACGCTACACAAACTTGTTCTTAGTAGATAGTTGCGGATAATTCCAATCGCTTGAAACGAAATCTTTAGTGAAAATTATACTCCAATGTACAACACTTACCCAGCAAATGATCTTGAAGTTGACCGAAAGTGCTGGATACACTCCATGTAACATTAAATATGTTGTGGATAACCTCAGTCTTTTATATTGTTGTTTTCAGATGATTTTATTTTCTCAAATTATGTAAGTTTAATATACCACATGGATGTTCACTACCAAAATGAGGATAGTTAAGGTATTTCCGCGAGAAAAAAAATAGAACATAAACGACTTCTGAACATACAGTAAAGACGATGTAAGTGACGTCGAGCGCTTAAATCGATTTCTAAAGAATAAGCAAATTGAATGAAATGTGTTTCTTATTGCAACATCTTCATAAAACGACTATAAATCAAATGTGTAAGTGACCTCCTTGTAGTAACTAGAGTCACTCACATGAGCGTAATTCACACTTTTATGATCAAGTAGTCAAGGCTATCACAGAATGAGATAAAAAAACTGTAGAAATCACATGGTTAGACATATTTTAATAAACTTCACTATTATGTCCATAAGATAGTTTGTTCAAGGTCAATAGTATGATAGTCAGCTGACAACACAAAAAAGAACCAAGAAAAATTGAGTTGGAGCATTTTACGTGACTGGTAAATAAAAAACTAAGTAACTTTGGTGGAAAATGTTAAGTAGGTTTTTCGTTAAATTTCATATCGTAAATGAGTTCCTACCCTTCCATGTACGTGTCATGTACTTTTTCTAATTGATATTGTGCCCTTAATTAAACTGTTGAACAAGAGTTCGTGGGTAGATGATTTAAAGTATCTGAAATTATATCAGTATATCACATACGAAGGACAACTTTATGTGCTTAACTTTAGGCAATATGGCTTTTGTGTAGAGGCTAGTGGTACTACCAGACTACTGAAGCCAAAATTAGTAGAATCGGACCCATAGTTAACACTTTTAGGGTTGAAATTAAAATAATTTTGTGCCGTTTTCCATACGTCTCATATATATATCTCTCTTATTCTTCTCTGGACTCTTCAAAGCCCCTTAACTTTCATAGGAAATAACCTTCATAACAATATCCATTAATGTTTACATATCATTTATTGAATCCTTTCACAATATTCCCGATTCTAAATTAGCTTTTATTACAATTACATATCACCTACAGAGTAAGATTTCATAAAACAAATACCGATTTTATGTTATGTATAATCTAAATAAAAAACTAGTTTCATTCACCTAATTTTAAAATTCATAAAATTAAATCATTATCGTTTATCATTTATGTTAATGAGAAATAAATGAATATTACAATTTAAGTAGTAGTAGTAACACATTGAAATTTATCACTTACAGATTATTCATTTAATCAAATATTAATATCCTGTTTTATTTCGTATTATTTTAATTTGTATTTTTTAATTCATCTGATATCATCTGATGATGATTTTCGTCAAAGAAAAAAAAAACAAAAAACATTCTCATCATACGATTGTTTTCTCTTTTATTTTTGGCTTTTTTCCATAAAAACGAAATAATTTTTACTTACTTTCTTTCATTTCATTTTTTTTGTCAAAATGGTTCTCAATTTTTTTTCGAATAAATTTCTTAACTTAATTCATTCAATAGATGCATGTTTACATGGACGGTTTAAAGTCTAATTAATTTGTGAAAATTAGTGATATTATTTAGGGATTCAAACCGATGTAAATGCAGTGGAGTTTGAGCCTATGACTTAACGATCATGTTAAATTTGTTTTTTGGTAACCTAATTATGATGATGATAATAATAATAAATAAATAAAAATCTTTCTCTTGTTTTAATCATGACATCAGTTCATGAAGTCATTGACTATTAGACTGATACATATTGATAGGTTCACATTACGTGGTTGGAGACAACGCGATTATGTAACCAGTGGTTGGAGATATTGGGTGACATAGCTTAGGACTGTTAACATTAGCGCAGACACATTCACTATTTTTTCCATTAGATTCTGAGTTTGAAAAGTTTTTTAAACCTTTAGTTCCAAGAATTCATTTCTTCTCTAAACATATCTATCTTTGATCGTTTCTATTAGTGATACTTCTAATACTACGATATTTGTTTCAATATTTTCATCTCCCTATACTAATATGATTTAACAGCCTGAATGGACCCAAGTATGTCCCAAGTTTTACGTTGTTTATAACTGACTGACTGACGTTATTAATCGAAATGCATAACCTACCTAACGCTGTTCTTTCGGTTTACTGTGATACCTTATTCTCATTTGGGTTAAACGGTGTAATAATCTGGCCAGATTTAATCTTTCCAACGTTCCACTTTATCTTATATGTCAAGAAACAAGCTCAGTAGAACAAGGAAAATAATCACTTTTAAGTGAAATAGTTAACTTCAAGAGACCATTATAAGAAGAGAAGATAACATAAGGTAAAGGACATATTTATTGATTTCACTACACGCAGTGATTTTATAAAAAGTCAAACCTGACATAATTACACTCTTTATGTTCCAGACACTTTGATTCATTGATTTTCATGATCTCCTTTTCTACAGTCAACCTAATCCATCAATAAATACCAGCTTAACACTTTATTTCGTAGTTGAATGCATTAAAATAATATTTTCTTTTAGTTCTCACCAATCAAACATTAATTCCTGTGAAATGTTATGTTTAATATGCATAAAAAGTATGCAGAATGACTACACTTATTGAATGATAATCATAAACCAGCACAGACATGTACAACTTTTTCTACATAATACTATTTGTCAACTATAAACGATTTTATTATCAGAAGCTGGGAGTTTTGTATGATTTATTTGTATCTCCAAAAAGTACACATTTATATGTGATAATATTCTTGAAATAATTTGCAGGCATATAACTTTTTAAATTTATGTGTGATGGCATTCATAAACTCTTTGTTGTTGTTTTGTCAGTATTTCAGAATACTATTCATTCTTTACACCTTCCAAAAATTTATCTAGTAGCAAAAACACAACAACTGTAGGTATTTTCCTATTTCAATCTAGTTAATGTGTTCAATTCTATCTCCTTCATTAGACCGCATCCATTTTTACCTTCACATCTGAGTTTGATCGGGGTCATCGGTGCCCACTGTCGATGGATTTCGTATTAAGACGAGACTGTCATTCAATCCTTTCTAGCTTTCAATGGTTGTTAAGAGAAAGTCATACTAAATGCATGTCAAACTTTAATAAAAATGTGTAACAACTCAGTAGTAAATCTAAATCAAATCATCTAATATGTACAATTCGCGATTTGTGCTGTCGGTCAAAAGATTTAGGATCATCGTCTATTTTCTGATACATCCCTGTTTCTAATGACTAATTTACTTCTGTATATCAATTGACTTGATAACTACTTAACCTATAATGCTTAATTGATATCGTTTCACTTAAGTTATCCCACCACAATGACCCCAATCCAGAATTCTAGATAAACCAAAGTGAATATTAATGAATATTATTATCTTAAGACATATCTTATGTGATGGCGAAGCCTAACGAACTTTCATACACTGGAAAAAGGGCAAATAACAAAATTAACTACCTATGACATCTAAATATGCTATCTTATTTGCTAGCGTTTTGTATATAAGCGGTCTATTCCTCTAGCAAGTAGTCTCATCTTTTATCTCAAATCATCCGGGGTTTTACACTAATTATTCAGTCATGTGAGCAACCATAACTCAAACATATTGTATCGTTACGTATTGTCAATAAATCGGCGCATTTCATTTATTAATTTAACAAACCCCTTATGTTTTTCCATAACAAATTATAACAGACTAATTAAAACTATATCTTTTATCACGATATCTAAAGCTACCGAACACAGAAGCCGTTTAACCATCCAGTCTAATAGTGTTTCTATTTTTTGTTTATTCAGTCCATGTTGCAGTTGCGGTCTTACATTCAGTGAACATCCATCCAATGTACAAATAGAGGCTTTAACACAACAGAATTTAAATTTACAACCTGATATTTCCACCAATAGTGGTTATCATTTAAAACCAACTAATAATGAACGCTGGCATGTTAAAACCCACACTCAAGAAATGCAAACAAATGCTTATGGTACGGTGGAATTTCAAGGCGGTCCACACCCAACGAAAGCTCGGGTTAGTGTATATGTATAACTGTCCGGGATTTTTTTGCTGAAAAACAGATTTTCGTTGTTAAGTATTTAAGTGCCTTCAATGTTATATATATTTAATGATGTTACTCAGCTGACTTTAATATATCGAGCTTGTACTCTGTTTTGTTAATTTCTCAGTGAGTGATTATTTCTTGGCAAAGCGTATAAATCATTGATTTTCATCATTTATGGCTTATATATCCCTAGTAAGACTAAACGTTTTCGATTCTGATTATGTAACAGACTCAATCACTATAGATTAATACTGTGTTGTCGTATTCAGTGAACCCAGCTTCGAACAACACATTATGATTCATATTTAGTGATACTACATGATTGACCAAACCGAAATTGATTGAGAGAGGTTCGAGCCTTCCACCTAATCTCTTTAACTTGATTGCATTAACTCCTAAATCACTATTTCACAGATAAAGATGTCACTCAAAAATAATACAAATTCAAAACTACGAAACACTTACAGTAAACGAATATATTAATTTTATATGAATAAAAATAAGGCGTATTTCTAAAGACTTGGAGTGATTTAACTTTATAACATTATTTTTACTTCTGTCGACATGTTTTATTATTTCATCTTGTTTCACATTGTTTATTCCACCGGTATAAATTGCCGATTTTTTCTCATATAATTGGACTTGGTAAATTCTTATAAATTGTGCGTAAAGTTCTTGAAACGGCTGGCTTAACGTTATTAAGATCGAATTAGGATTGGGTTTGATCTGTTGTGGTACATAATGCTTTACAATTTCCCTCATATTTGTAAAAATTATGTAGAACGATTCAGTTGATGAGACAGGCATCCCTGAATTCCCGTACTAGACACTGATTAAAACATACCTGACCTAATGACCAAATTTTTTTTAACTGTTTTCTATTCTCAATTATATATTTAGCTTAATTTTATAGGAAAGAATTTGAAAATAAATTGTTCAGACTTCGAGTAGGCTGTAAATCAATCTCAAGTTAAAGTAATTCAATTCATCAGGTAGCTTGGGCGTGTATTTACTTTTACTTTCTTGGGGGTAGTCGCCATGATACCTTGGAATTTAGGCTTTGAGCTATTTGCCACTCATCAGAAAGGTGTACCCGTAATCGTTAGAAAAATGATTTCCCATACGAGCTTTGAACCGCCTCACTCAACTTTTCGGGCCAAGACTGCCCTACTGTTGGACAAAGGTATTTACAATTCATCAATCAGTCGGTATTGACCAATTTCATGTTTGTCTAGTCCTTTAATTGCTGATCGAATGGCACCGATCAAGGACTAGGTATTCTTCATTATGTTTCCACATTTTTATAAATTATGCGGTGAATTCTTTTTCAAAGAAAAATATACCAGTACTTTTTTGTTTGATAGTCATGCGAATTTATGTGTCCTGAGAATATATGCTCGCGAATAGCTGTCTCCAGTGGTTTTTTTTGTTTTTTTTTGACAACGTGTGACTTTACACAAATGCCATCTACCTTCACTTTTTAGTTTATTATATCGTCAATGTTCAAGCGTTGAACTGCTATGCAATATGTGAAATTCAACTGATGGACAATTGTTCTAGTCCCCTTATTTTTATTACTGACTGACTTCATATTAATTTAATAGACTTTGTACATATTTTCTGGACAAATTATGTAAAATTAACCAAAATAGTTTGCAAAGAGAGATGGTTAATATTATGTTTAGTGGTCATCGGAGTCTGCTACTGACACAAAAGCTTCCTATACGTGAGCCTTACAAGCTATTTAAGTGAGAAAACCAAGAATGAGTAGAAAGATTTTTATTATTTGTTCAAATATGGAATATATTTACAACTCATTCATAAATATATATCTTTTCCCCCAGAAAATAAAGCCAGGTTTTTAACTAATAGAATATCTCTGTTTCTTTGGGAAGTGAACTCAAATCTTGATAAGTAGAGTGCTCCCATGAGTATCTCTTATTTATTAATTGACCTATATCTGATTGGCCCAGCGTATCAATTAGTTTCTTATATTCTAGGTTGAACATTAAATTGATTATATTTAACTTAGAATTATCTATATTGTGTGACGTACAAGGATAAAACAGACACTTAAGAAAGTAATATAATGATTAGAGACTAGATTAAAAAACTGAAGGTATTCATGCCATGTAACTCAATTTCGAATCATATGATCACTAGGTTACCAAAATGTAGATTTTCCTATTTAGACTTCGTTTTCATTAATGACGTGGGTACGTATGTGACTAGTAAACATGCTCAATTGTCTAGCATGGATCACTGTATAATTCGTGTTCTACCTAAAGTATATGGAAAGCATGGAAAGAGTACACTTACATCAAATTGGGAAAGTCAAATATAAGGATTACTCAAAAGAAAATATCCAAAATCTGAGAAACATGTTTGGTATGACTAACTGGGAATTATTTACAGATGGCTCACTCGAAACGCTACTGATGTTATCACTTGTTATCTGAAATTCTGTTTTGATATTTGTTGTTCCACTGAAACTATTTTTCTAAGTTTTGATCGACTTACATCTACACAACTAAAACGAACACGGAGGGTAAAAGAAAGAATGTACAAGGAGAAAGACTATTATACCTCTCGACTCTATGTTCACTCAGAAACTCCTATCTCATAAAAAACTTCTCAAGTGTGTGGAAACCCTTTAAAGAACTTACAGGTGACTGGCATATTAGAAGCGATAACCAGCTGGTTGTTTGCGACTTAAGTAAGCCTTTTGTACATCAGTCATCTATTGTCATGCTCCCTATATCCACAGGATTAAAGAATAGTTGTGTTCCTACTTCCACTGAAACTGATGTTCGAAAATGCTTCCAGTCACTTAATTCATCATGATGTTTAGGACCTGATAAAATCCTAAACCTCCTTTTTTAAAAACATGCTGACGTTCTGTGCTAGCCATTCACAAGCATCTTTAACAGATCCTTCTCAACTAATCTCATACTGAAAATGTGGAGAAAGATAAAGATAACGCCGATACCTAAGAAAGTCTGGCAATAAGAATGTGAAATTCAAACGCATAGCAATAACTTCGTCTTTCCTCAAATCAATCGAAAAATTGTTGATACTCCCACTTCAACCTTCACTAAAAGAGCACATTGATCCGTATCAGTTTGCTTACAAATGCTAAACAACATTTCAGATGCTGTTGTTCTGCATCATAATATATTATTGAGCTTGGAAAAGTGTAAGAAGTATGTTCGATGCACTTTCTGGACTATACTTCTGCCTTTGACTCGACTTTCACTTGACAAGTAAATCAGCGTTGACACTGACAGCTTCATAACGTAGTGCCTATGTTTCTACCTCTCTAGAAGAGAACAGTGCAGAAATGTGTACATGTTCAACAAATTACTTTATAAAAACGTTACATCACAGATAGAGGGCTACTGATAACCAGTTATATTTGGATTATTTGATGATTTCTTGTGATTACTGTGTTTTGGATCAGTTCCAAGAAAATAAAGCTATTTGGTAATCGAATTTCTTGTCTGCTATTATTTTAGAATTACAAATTGTCAATAAACATAATGACAGTGAAACTTTGCAAACATCTAGCTCTATCGTGTTAGTCAGTTATTCTAAATTAAAATGTCTTTCAGTATGAAACAAAATCTGAATAAGGTTTATTAAATCGACTTCTTCAATATTAGCAGGGAAATTAACATCTTTCCTATATGTCGATTTTCATTTTACTGCAACATTTTACAGATTTACCTACTGTTTCTAAGTCGAATTTACTATTATTTGTATTGAATGTTATGGTTACTTGTCGATCACCTTCAACCACCTAATATGGAACAAAAGTGCATCGCGATGTCCAGTTACCTAGGCTGAAATATCACATTATAATATGCTTGATAGTATTTGGTCATGTCTAAAGACTATATGAAAATTACAATTGTAATATTAATTAATTTTGAGTATGTATATGATTGATCAAACTACATATGATTCTCACAATAATTCCTCTTTTTCATTTTGTATCCTTCATATAAATGTCTACATACATATGTATATGCAGTATGTGAGATTACATTATGAAACTTGTCCTGAGCTAGTACTGCATTTATTACTTCATGAATGGAAAATACGTGTGCCGAATTTAGTCATTTCAATTGTCGGTGGATTAGCCAACGCTCCATTACAAGCAAAATTACAACAAGTTGTAAAACATGGTATATTGAGAGCAGCTAAAACAACTGGTGCTTGGATTGTTACAAATGGATTAGATATTGGTAGGTGAATTTTTTTCTAGTCGCTTGTTAAAATACTATCTTTTCATGTTTGTATCTTCTCAAGTTAAGCAGCACACATAGATCTTCCTATAGATGTCAACCCACCAACGACGGAAGAAATTAGAATGGCCGTCAGACAAATCAAGAACGGGAAAGCAGCAGGACCCGACAACATACCAGCTGAAGCACTGAAATCAGACATCGAAGCAACCACAAGCATGCTGTACCTTCTATTCAAAAAGATTTGGGAGGAGGAACAAGTGCCAATGGACTGGAAAGAAGGACACCTCGTCAAGATTCCAAAGAAAGGAGATCTGAGCAAATGTGAAAACTACAGAGGCATTACACTACTGTCAATACCAGGGAAAGTCTTCAACAGAGTGTTGCTGAACCGTATGAAGGATGCAGTAGACGCCCAACTTCGAGATCAACAAGCTGGATTCCGTAAGGATCGGTCGTGCACAGACCAAATTGCAACACTACGGACCATCGTCGAACAATCAGTGGAGTGGAACTCATCACTATACATCAACTTCATTGATTATGAAAAGGCATTCGACAGTGTAGATAGGAGGACATTATGGAAACTTCTTCGACACTACGGAGTTCCTGAGAAGATTGTCAACATTATCCGGAACTCATACGACGGACTACAGTGCAAAGTAGTGCATGGAGGACAGCTGACAGATGCATTCCAAGTAAGGACTGGAGTCAGACAAGGCTGTTTACTCTCTCCCTTCCTCTTTCTTCTGGTGGTCGACTGGATTATGAAGACCTCAATATCTGAAGGAAAACACGGCATACAATGGACAACTCAGAATCAATTAGACGATTTGGACTTCGCAGACGACCTAGCCCTCCTATCACGTACACACGAACAGATGCAGATGAAGACAGCCAGTGTAGCAGCAGTCTCTGCATCAGTAGGCCTCAGCATACACAAAGGGAAAACCAAGGTCCTCAAATTCAAGCCGGAGAACAGCAATCAAATCACTCTTGATGGCGAAACTCTGGAAGATGTAGAGTCCTTCACATACCTAGGAAGCATCATCGATGAACAAGGAGGTTCAGATGCAGACGTAAAGGCGAGGATCGGCAAAGCAAGGGTCGCATTCCTACAATTGAAGAACATATGGAACTCAAAACAACTTTCAACCAATATCAAAGTGAGAATCTTCAATACGAACGTCAAGGCAGTTCTACTGTATGGAGCTGAAACTTGGAGAACTACAACAACCACCATCAAGAAGGTACAAGTATTTATAAATAGCTGCCTACGCAAGATACTCAACATCCACTGGCCGGATACCATCAGCAATAGCCTTCTGTGGGAGAGAACAAAGCAACTTCCAGCTGAAGAAGAAATTAGGAAAAGACGATGGAAATGGATAGGACATACATTACGCAAACCGTCAAACTGCATCACGAGGCAAGCCCTAACTTGGAACCCTGAAGGGAGGCGAAAAAGAGGAAGGCCAAAGAACACATTGCGTCGGATTATAGAAGCAGATATGAAAAGGATGAATTACAACTGGACGGAGCTAGAAAGGATTGCCCAGGACAGGGTTGGATGGAGAATGCTGGTGAGTGGCCTATGCTCCTTCACGAGGAGTAACAGGCGTAAGTAAGTAAGTAAGTATCTTCTCAAGTTATTGCTAATGTATGGATTTAGGACTATTTCGATTTCGTAAAACTAATTTGCTTATACTGTAAACCTAGCACTCATTAATTATTTGGTTGGAGAAGATAAAATTGTGTATATTTTCTCATCCAAATTCATAAAACAGGTCCCTCAATGTTTTTTTAAAGTTACATTAAATAATACACACTATTAAATAAATCATCTATATGAATAAATGAAGGAATATAAGAGAAATGAAGCTTTAGCACTCCAGGAAGTGGTTTTTTCACCACAATTCTATTTGACATATGCAGATCCCCCCCCCAAAAGCCAACATGTTTTAGACAGTAAATTATAATTAAAAGAAAATAAACAGTTGATCATATTGTTACTTATATCCATATTGTTTATTTTGTGTCATTAACTAATTAGTACTGTTTGTTATTTTTAATATATAAACTTAGCATTGCAAAAGTGATAAACCACTGACTTATTAACACTACGAAATATTATGCAAGACAATCTTCATAAGTGAACACCACTGATCACGGCCTCACTAAGATTCCGTTCAAAGTAATTCACTCATGAATACATGATAGGCTGTTGGCGGAAATTACTCACATTTATGCGAATTCATATTATCGACTAACTTTAGCTAGACATTAATTGAAAATTAGGGATCACTCAATAGCTTTTAAAATAGTGAGTGTTGATATGTAGTGAGCAACCTTCAACAAAGTCCCATGTTACTAATCATCTTGTGTTCATTATTGACTAGCTCTAACCGGTTACTTAAAAGCTGTGGCCGGTGGAATTCACATATGCTGAAAATATGATAGAAATCTTAATTATCGTCTTTCTTTTCTTGGTCTATTCACGTGTTGGGAAACTATTCTACTGCCTAACTGCAATAATTGATCACTTATTAGCAACAATTTTCCGTTTAGCTAACTGAATTGTGCGGATCAAGTTGTAATTTACACGCTACTCTAATCTACCCAACATCGTAGTGAACTAGGTGATGAAAAGCCATTTGGTTGGAAGCTTTGATCTATGTTTTATGGAAGCTGACATTCTTCTGCTATACACGTAACATGTGTATAGTGTTTTGTAGTTTTAAAAGTAAATAAAACAATAATCAGTTAAGTTTAGAATAATTTATTCTCTTTGTGTCTTTCTAAATTCTTTATCAAAATGTTTTAATAAAATAAGTCTTATGTATTTTGCTTATTAATATATCACGTTCCATTTTTCTCATAACTCTTTGAGTTGCAATCTTGTATGGTTTGAAATGTAAACTCATATTTTTTTTGCTTACGGAAAAGAAAGAAGTACGTCTCACAACCAATACTATTATCACTTACATCTAATTACATAATACAAATAACAATTTAACTTATTTATCTGGAATTATTGAGTCAAACGAGTTATAACCAAATGAAGTTTACTTATTTTAAATTAGAGATTATCACGTGTGTTTTTCAGAATACAGAATATTTACTTGATATCTATTTGATAATTGAGTAATTACCCACGTCTATTTCATTTTATTAACTTAGTTACTGTCAGTTAATACAAATGATTAATCTATCAATCATTTTAGTGACAAATATGTACAGAAATTATCACGAGTAAATTTTAATTACTTCAGACAAACATATATAGGACAAATACTCATGACATAATAATAGTGGTCAAAAAGTCGTATAACATCACACTTTCTAAAAGTTGATAAGCTCAATATCTCTACCTATTTATCTCTCACTATATTATTTCACATCTTGATTTTCGTGATATTTTTATTTATCTAATTTATATAACTAATATTGTAATTGCTATGATTGATAGAATAATTTCTAGTGTTTTGACTATATCACAACTTAATACTGATTCATTAGTAATGGTCTTAAGGTTTTATGCTAAACATGAAAGTCTTGAATTTAGTCACATGTGAAGTTATGAATTATACATTTCTGACAAATCGATAAACTAAGATGAAACATCTATACATTCTAGTTTGATTTCAATCGTCCTTCAGACGATGTCAGTCCATTAAAAAAATAAATCATTTTCAGTTCCTCAGTACCGCTTAATTAGTTTCGCATGAAGCACAGCCAATTTTTTTATGTTAATTGTACCAAATCAACAGAATACAATTGATTTCACATATAGCTTGTAGATTTTATGAAAAATATCGATAACTGTTATGGATGATATTTTATAGTTTTCATTTTTCAAGGAGTTGGACAGATATAAATATTATCTTCTGATATACTTCATGATGTAATCCATTGAGTAGCGAAAATTATCAGTCCTAATGCTAGTGATCGTTAACAACTAAAAAATCCATTTATGCTTATGACACACAAACTAACAGTAGAACGAAATGAAATGTCAGTGCATGAAGACAAATAATAATACCAATTTAACTGGCAAAATGCCAGAATTCCGGCTAGAAAAATACTCTACTAATGCTATAGAATTCCAAGAACCTTGATATTTAAACTAACCCGTAATCATTAGACAATTGAAAACAGATTCTATCTACCATTCATCGTGGAAATCTGCAATTATCCGCATATCCAGAGGTTATCCAAGAAAAGCTTCCAGCGAGGATTCAAAAACACATGAAGATAACAAGGCTAGCGAATACAATCGGTGACAAATAAGTTCATCGAAATATACTAATTTTGCATATGTGGAACAAGACTAAAAAGCTCATTTTTATTCAAAGTAGGAGATAATTATGTTTGCTTAGGAACACAGAAGATCAGTCGAGGCTCGTATCGCTTATAAGTAACATCTGAAACCGAGTGAGCTGGATCTAAATCCATCAGGGAGCACCAGTTCCCTTATCGTTGTGGATACACTTTGTTGACCAGCGGCAACTGAAATGAAACATATATCCAGCGTTTCCTTCTGACTACCTTCATTCACCTAATATCATAATACTAAAAGCTTCTCAGTCAAACCATTCAACTCAGTTAACACAACTCCACCTAAAATACATATCGTTGTGTGAGAAATAGCTTCTTATGCTCTTACCTACACGTGTACTGTAAACAGTTCACTCTGGATTGATTCTACGAGTAAGAGGACCCAGTTTTCAATAATTTAACAAGAAATGAAAAACCTTAAAATAGTTCCCTATAATTGTGGTTACAGTAATACTTTTTGTGTTTTTAAAGGATGTGAAGGATGTTGAATAAAACAAAATTTTCCAAATTTTTCAATCCGATGAAGTTTTAACCTTTCATTGATTGATTTTACTGATTGTATGTTGAAGATTTCAAACCGGAAACTGTCATTATCCTATACCGGCAGAAGATGAATTAAGATCTTTAAAATATTTACGTTGATAACATAAGTCTCTATTTAGCTCTATATTGTAGTCCTTAAATAACATTTATATCTGCAAGTTAGGACTTATTGATTTGAGTTCCTGGTTCGATTATTCAGACAATTTATTTAGAAGTTACTTCCAAGTGGTATGTAGATTCATATTAGTAGTAGCAGTACTGCTTTTTTACTCTTTGTTTCTACTTTCAGGAAACCCAATCACTTTCAAACATTCTTTTTTTCAGTTCTTTCCATTTGCATATTTATGAGTCATAGGTTTCCAATTTATTATTATTCTGATACTAAATAATGACTTTACATAGTTTTTTTGGTGAATTCATCGAGTTAATATCGTCATATTTCCTGTTTCATTTTTACCTTCAATTGCAGGTGTAACTCGACATATTGGTGAAGCATTAAAAGATGAAGTGCATATTCGTGGTTCTAATATTGTTGCACTTGGTATAGCACCATGGGGTTATGTACAACATCGTGAAACACTGATTGGTTTAGATGTATGTGTTTATTCGTTTCCCTTAAATATTAAATAAAACCCTAGTTAATAATATTTGCGTAATTTCTAGTGACTAACTCCAAGACAGATTTTTCTAACATATCGTTGAAAGCCATCACTCATGAAGTCAAGAAGCATCAAGACCGAGATAAATGACATACTGATGATTTTAAAATTTGATTACGCCATAGCATGACTTCATGAGAGGTGAAAATATAAACTATGAGATTCCAAATCTGTGGTTTAAGTTGATCTGGTTAACTGTAAATCTGTAAGTTCCAAGTTCAGGCTTGCTTGAAACTATATCCATTTTCAGTTGTTGTCAAGCTCCCCCTCACAATTCAATCGAGTTGCCAGATATAATCCGTTAAACTGCTCTAGGAGTTTTCCGAATATTTTGATTAGCAACAATTAATGTGTTATCAATGTAACGGCAGTATAACTTAAGTTTATCACAAACCTCCCTGAGTAGTTCAATTTCTAATGTAATGCAAAATCAACTAAGGTAGGGTTTGACGATAAATTGATTGCTATTCTATCAATTAGATTGTAATAAAGACCAAATAGAGATCCGTTGCACATCTTAAGTGTAAATCTTTAGGAACAACCTCGGAAATCACAAAATTAGATTGTCTGTCTGACAGTCATTAACGTGAAATGTCAGTTGTTCCACTTAATAGTACATTAATGAAGAAGGAAGCGACGCCTAGAGATGTCAAATTTATCCCATCTATATTAAAATAATCCAACTTCGAAATGAAACTGGAAACATTGGAACGCTTTTACTAACGACTAGTTTGCCTGGAAGTCACGAAATTAGGTTAAGGCAATTCGCAGTTCTGTGGTATGAAGATCTATACATAAATACCATAAAACTATGTGAAGAAGATGCCATTACTTGTGGATTTCAGGTGGACCATAGACTTGAGGTACATTGGATCTAGCAGATTTAAGCCAACTATAAATGGTTGAGTAATTATCCTATTGTGTTTCAATTCCTCAGGAGAATTAGTCAGTGGCTTTTCTGTTTTTACAGTTATGTCTTTATTGTAACTAGGTTCTTGCAATTTAGTAGGATTGTTCAAAATTCTTGTTTTATCACTATAATCTGTTTTCTTCATTAAAAATAACTGTTCTCTTTTGTCTAGCTTGCTAAGGACCGCCGTGTTATATTCTCTAAACGTTTTTGTAGCATCCAATTTTTGTTAGATTAGTGGACAGTTGGCATCATATTCACTATTTTTGTATTGTCCTCAGCTATCGGCCTATCTAATACATGAAGTAAGCTTGTGACCAAGACTGACGTTTGGAAAAAATACCTAAATTGCACCTCTGTATTTAAAGGCCTCTGACTGAAATGCATTCAACTTGACACTGGAAAGATTATGATCGTACTGTTTTGAGTCAGTAGGAAACTTTCTGGTTTTTGGAATTTAGGAGATTCCACTCAATATACACTCATATTCTAAGATCTACTTCTTGTTATTCTTTTTACGTGATCCATAAAAGTGATTTTATTTAATGTGGTAGGTTTGCGACAGCAAATTTTCTACAACAATAAATTTGAAACAGTTAGTGAAACAACAAAAGATTACTGCTTTATTCCTTTTATTACTTGTACGCACAAAAGCTCTATTTACTTCATAATTTAGGGAATTGGCTCTGATTTTTCCATAAGCACTTGTGGTGTGTAACGAAAGATAGAACTCTAACTTGGTGGCATGGGAGCAATAATTGCACTTAAAATTGTGGTCATAATCCATTAGAGAGTAAGTGATCTACAAAACTCATCTTGTAAACCCTTTTGACACTGAATCATTTCATGATATCAGCCCGATCTGGATACCAGGCATCAGTCAATCATATCGTACATAACCTACCGATATGCATTTATTTTGAAACCCAAAACCCACGTCACCATCAAACTTTAATACACTGTTCCTCTCTGTACATTTCTTAATAATCATTCATTGAGTATCTATTAATATGTTTTCTGGCATCTTCAGTGTTCTAATCGTTTGAAATTGTCTCAATTATTCTATTGGAAATAACGGCACGTTATTGATTGAAATTACCCAAATAACTTCAGCCGAATTCGCAATATGCCTCCAATATCTAGTGTCTTATTATTCAGTAGTTTAATAGATCGATGAATGTAAAATTATTACTAATACTCCAATCTCCCATACAACACTGGCGAACACTAAAGTATTCATAAACTATGATTTAGTGCATCCTTGAAAATGAGCCACCTGAGACACAAGTTTCAGAGTGACAAGTCCAGCTATACGCTCTGCCCGAAAATTTAAAATAACTATCATTTTAAGCTGGTGTGGCTTCAACTTTCGAAACATAAAGCATTTCTCCATACCTAACTTATTTCGTTTCAGTAGTCTGGATCTCGTAGAAATATGTAGTGTCCGTTATTATGAAGTCACAAATACTTTCTTAAAGTATGATAAATTTTAAGCCAAACATTCCTGCCATTTGTCAATCTCACTTGACACTAGCACAAAATACGATGCCACTGCATTCGATTTATATCTTTTGTATCTGTCTTAAATTATACCTCAATAGTTTAACACTGACATTGATTCACCTTTTTACAAGCTTTTTTCAACTTCTTCTCTCTGACTCTTTGTTCAGAATACTTGTTCCTATTATTCACAAGGATGGAGACCTGGCCGTCAAGAAGCCCCACTTAATCCTGATCATAACTACTTTTTATTAGCAGATAATGGAACATCTGGAAAATTTGGTGGGGAGCTGGGTCTTCGTCGACGTCTAGAACAGTACCTCGCTCAACAACCAATTGATATGCGACGTTATGGTAAGTTTACTTGCATTGTATGAAGTTAAACATATTATTTTGAACATTATGTTAAGTGATAACTCCCGATTTAAAAATGCGCTGATTTTCACACTTCTAGTTAAGCGAAACTTTCAGGATATGTTGTTTAATGATATGGTAATATCTAATACTCATTGATTAATTTTATCGAAACAAAATCTTAAAAATTAATACTTCCGCTTTGAAATGAATTCTTTGTAATCCTTTCTTTTTTTGTTTATATTACTCCATTAAATTATTTTGCTTCAGGAGGACTGATACGAGCACGTACATTGAATGTAGATGAAACAGGTGAAGTTACTGATATAAAAACGCGTTTTATTGATCATGGATATACAGGAATGGTAAAAAATCGTTTTCGACATCTTCTACAGGGCAAGTATCTTAACTGTGATAGATTTAAACGTATCCTATTTCTTTCACTTTAAGCACTTAATCACAATCCTTAAGTTTGCTTAGATTAGGCACTATCTTATCACAAAAAAACTTTTCATATTCACATCACCTATTCACAGTTTCTAAATAAGTTTGTCGTTCTTGTAACCTCTATTCACTTGACATAATTTTATTTCATTGTTTTTGATCTTTTAATTAGTGAGATTTCGTAAATTACAATTTACATTAATTTTACAGTGGTAATCATTCAGGGACTGGATAAAGTTCCTAATTTACAAGTTGATAAATTTGAAACTATCTGATTGAGTTATTTATAGAAAAATAAAGAAATGTGACTAACTTTATAAGTTTTTCCTATGATAACCTACCTTTCACACACTTTTTCTGTGACATGATGTACTATTACTGTTTTACTGACTTCTAACGCATAAGTTATGAGTTCGAACCCCCTTACGCCCACTTAGACTGAGTCAAAAGGGTAGTATCACCATCCCCCCCGTAGTAATGATAGTGCAGTTCAAAGATAAAATACAAAACCATACTTGGCTACTAAACAATATATGATCATTTCATATGTTATATCAAATAATTTCAGTTAAACTAGATTGTCACTTACAGTACAGTCGATGACAATTCTTTTTATTATTTAAGTACTATGTCACTCTATTGAGTGTTACGTATATTTCTGCCAAGTGTTAAATTGTCCGCTTAGCCTTTTAAGCACTATCTCACTATGAAATAGGCTTTTAAGTTCTGATGATCATCAGTTAATTAACTGCTAATCACTGTTAATACAAATTCTACAATTCGATTACCGATTCAAAACATGGTTAAAGAGTTTGCTGTTAAAGAAGGTAATTTTCAAAGGACTTATTAAGCTGTTTTATGAAAAATCTGGCTTTAATGACCATAATTTTGCACACTGTGTACTTTACCAACTATCTTTAGCCAAGCTTTTTTTTAAATCATGAGAAAGTAAGTAACTTAAGGATATTTCCCTTTGTAGTGATTTCTGAAGCCAAATCAATATATATACTTCTGTAGATTCTCACTTTAAAATGATTTATTCGCTTGAAATTTATTGAAATATTCAAAGCAAAAGTTATTTTACGAAACCGATTACTATTATTGTTTATGCAATCTCGTTGTAGTTTGTTATTTTTAAAGCCAACACTAAATATCATTCCATTCCACTAAATACTGTATTTTCATTTTGAAATTTCTCAATTCTTGTACACTAAATTAATGCATTTCGCTTTCCACGTTTCCCTTTTCCGAAAACTTGAGATAAGGAAAAACATGAAACACAGAATGTTGTTTAATTAAATCTTACTTTTGTTACAAATATATTAGCATTTGTAACTTGTATGTCCTATTTGTTACAAATTGATTTCAGTTAGGATAATACTGCCTGAATAATTACTTTATGTCAGCACGAAACTCCTCAATACTGTGCGCTGAGAACCTCGTTTTCAATCAAAGTCAAGAACTTCAGGTCTAGCGGCGAACACAACAATTAAAGACATTGGATCATCGTCCAATAGTATAATTCTAACTTCAATAAGTTTGTGATCGAACACGATGATTATCCAATGCCACTGATGATTACCGTTTCCTCACCGAAATTTCTCAATTGTAGCAGTCTTAAATCACTAGAACCTCAAGAACATCTTTAAGTATGTTACTGGCGAACTGAGTGTTATAGTCCAGTTGAAGAGGTTCTTATTCGTTACTGAGACAAAACATCTATTTAGTGTTCCCAGATTTTCAATAGTCTCAACTAATACTAATTCATGATGAATGCAACCTACATTCACAATTTCCCCTTTACTTTTGCTGTTCCATGTTTGTATCTACATCGTCTAAGATTACTTGATAATACTTAGTGTTATTAAAGCACCATTAGTTTGATAAAGATATAGAAATAATTAAAGTAGCTAAAACTAATAATTTGCTCATAAAGCAATTAATAGTCCTTCACTTATTCTACTTCTCAAATCATTTGCTTCTCACCCTCAGTTTTAAGCAAATTCTGTACACTTTTCATCTTTTAGAATACTACGTTACACGTTTTTGCAGTAGTGACTGTTTTTTTTAATAGACAATTAATTTTATCCTACCTTTGGATATCTTCAGTTTTCTTAAATTTTTTTTCTGGAATCTGACAATCCATTAATTGGTACCACTGGACTTTGATACATAATCCATCAAGATGGGAGATGAACTCTAATTACAGATATTTTAAATAGAATTTGGTCAAATTTAAAACTATCGAGTGAGTAACTCTAAAGTTATATTACATTTTCAACAAAAAACAAACAAATTAATCAATGAAGGTATGATGTGGATACATTCAATTCGCTTTACGTTCTTTGAAAACGCCTAATATTTCAAAACTATCCATTTCCCTAGTTATAGTCCATGTAACATTTTCATTAGACAAATTATAATCCTGATTGTTTGATGATTGCCTTTTTTTTCTTGATTTGTTTTATTATATTACAACTTGAACTTAAACATGATTGTTAATATAGATTCAGTTTCCTGAATGTTTATCTTCATTAAATTCAAACTAAGATTTGATGGCAAGTTGTAAATTTTAAGAGTAATGTTTCGTCGTATTGTCGGTAAAACTAAAAAAAATTACAATTAACTTCATTAAAAACAAAGTCATCAATTCTTTTAACTGCTCAAGATTCAATCAGGTGTTTGTATCACACAAAAAAACAACAGTTGAGTGCATGTATAATATTGACAAAAAATCTTCAATCTGTTGGGGAAAAAAGCGTCTACCGGCAAACTATCTTTCGATAAATTTTTTTTTACATTACACAAAACAACACACACACGTACACCCAATATATTACCTAGTATGTAATTCACAATTTAACCAATAATAATTCTTCTGAAATATCAGTCTTATGTAAATCCTTCAAATGGATTAATATCATACTTTTCGTAAAATTAATGTTTATTTCTCCAAATTTCCTATTCAATGATATTTTGTTTAAAAAAATTAATAACATGTGTTAATTCGATACCTGTTTAGTTACATAAAATCTGTGAGTACTTGTTTATAGTACACATCACTGACTTATCTTAGTTAAACAATCATCGAAACTATCAAACACTAAACAACTGTTTCTTTCTACTACCAAACTCATCAATAGTACACATCCATCACATCACCACAAGTCGAACTCATGACCTGTACGACTTGCAGCAATCTCTCAATCCTTAGACTACTGAATAGACATCCAATCATTTATATGTCTAGTTCCAATCAATTCATGATGTTCTACAACCATCTTCCACTGATATTGATGGGTGACTGTCACACCGTTTCTCACTACAACTCTGAGAGGTACTTCTCGAAACGAGTCACCAGTAGGTACATAATTACTGTAAGTTGTTTGTGGAGATTGTTGCACTTTATAATTTATTTCACAGGTTGATCAGTTGCCTTCACTCTCCCTCCTTAAAATAATGATTATTCAATTTTAAATACAAAAGATTGTCTAGTTATTGACCCTAGCTAGATGAAGTAGCATTTTGAGGTCCGTGAATAAGCTTGAAAGTCAACCACCAAGAATCTTTTTCATGGCTTTGAATTTGAATGAACCTATGTGGATTATTGTATTTCCTACAACTCTACACCAGTGTCCAATGTGAACTGTTTTGGAGGATTTCGCGTTTCATAAAAAACTAAGACGGATTGAATTTTTTTTTTCAGAATCTAAAAAATATAGCAATTTATTTTTAGTAATGACCCTGTAATTTGTGATTATTAGTATTCAAGTCAGTGTTCGAAGCGAATATGAACACTTGTTTGTTTGATGAAGTTTCCTTTGAAAATAATGATGCAGCCTAAAATTATTATTTAATTATGAATTCAACTTCACAGCATAAGTTACATTTACATGTTTTTATTGAATTAAAACAAATCTATTCGATGTTATATTTGTATTCATCTTCGCTTTGATTTTGGTGAGAGCAATTTTATTTGTATCTATACACACAACTTTTGTTTCATAAATTCTTTTTGTAATTTTCTCATCCATAATCGTGTAGTGATTCTTGTACACAGTTTTTTTTCTTGCTCAGTTCATCTTGTGTATTTTTTTAATTTCGATAAAAGTTACTCATGTTTATCTATATACCATGTTTCTCTTGAAATAGGTGGATCCAAGTCTCGTGTTCCAATTGTTGGTGTACTATTGGAAGGTGGAACACAAACATTTCGTACTGTATTTGAGTTAGTAACAGGTCGAAATCCAGTGCCAATTGTTGTTTGTGATGGTAGCGGTCGTGCGGCAGATCTTTTAGCATTTATGCATCGTTATGCAAACGAAGATGGGTAATCTAAACTTCACTTTCTTTCATTTCTATTAAACACACCAAGTTAAATGTGAATAACTATTCAAAAAAATTGATTAGATGGATATAGTGATACAACTGAATCACCTCAGATTTTAACAACCGAAAAACGTAAGGTATAGGGGCTTATGGGACTATTGAATTTCATAGCTCACATCACGGCCTGTCCCTAGTTAGACAACAATTGAGAACCATGGGCCAATTGACAGATGTTTTATCCTTGTATAGGACTCAGCAATATCACTAATAAAAATTATGCACGTACAAGCGACTCGTTTCGAGAAGTACCTCTTAGAGTTGTAGTGAGAAACGGTGACATGTATGATACAAATGGGTCGAGTGTGAGACTTGTGATGTGATGGATGTGTACTATTGATGAGTTTGGTAGTAGAAGGAAACAGTTGTTTAGTGTTTGATAGTTTCGATGATTGTTTAACTAATATAAATCTGTTGCACTGAAGATAACATTTATTACTATACAATGCTATGTTCAATGTTGCTAACCCACTCTCGTATTTTTTTTATCCAAGATATATGTTTTACCGCGTTGATATAAATCATCTTGCTATTATAATCAAATGTTATGTGGGACCATTACTACATACTGTCAAACTGCATGTACTTAGTTTCCTAATTTAAGTGCTCTAAATCAGGCTGCAAGTACATGATTTTACAGAACTTAGAGCCCACCAGTCTCACTTCCAACAAAATACTTCCTTTTTTTACACACTTATATTATCCTCGTTTTTGTTATTTTAAAGCTCCTTTGAAACCTACAGACTCCAAGATTTGTTAGTTTCCATGTCGCTTCAAAATTTCCTAGAATCATATTCGTAGATGATTTTCAAAAATATGATTCATCACTAGTTTTCCGGATCTCCAAATGGAAAGTCGTTGTGTTAAAAAATCATAAACCTTTATTTCTGTTGACTATGCTCAGTTCTTGTGTTCACCTTCGTCGACGGTTGGATCATCATAGTACCTAAACTAGACATCCTAAAACACCTTGCTTCTACTCGGAATTCGTTAATTTTTTATCTGCTCTACCCTAATCCTAATTTACACATTTATCTTTCCCAATTCACATGAATTTCTTATCATAAATGCCCTAATAAAATTTGTCTCTTATCACAACTTTTCTGTTTTATTCGCATGATTTACTTTATTATTATTATTATTATATTGATCATAATTTGACATCTTACAATGAAACATTCTAATATTTTATAAATTACCGAATTTACAAATGATATGTTGAAAGTATTTATACAGTAACAAATGCAAACGTTTATCATTTTTTAATACATACCACTGTCTCATTGATTACCATACTGTATCCTAGCATTTGTAAAATAACAGAATAATTATGATCTTACAAGTATAGAGCCTAATAATGTAGTTATTGAAAACAGTTGTTCGCTTAAATATTCTTTGTTTTTGAATACTTCATTAGAGTTTATTAATTATCAAAATGTATATCACAATTTCAATATTTAAAAGATGAAGTAGTAAACTGCTGCTTTATTCAGTGCTTCTTTGTTTTCAATTATTTTCTTATTTTTATGTTAGTTTTTCAGTAAACCTCACTTTAAATTTGATAATATGCCTAAATCTTAATCATTATTTTTTGTATTTTTTTTTCCATTGTCCAATCCAGAGATCTTAGTACACAATTGCGTGATCAAATGGTAGCAAATATATCTAGAGCTTTTCAAATTAGACGTTTCGAAGCTGAAGGATTGTATAGTGAACTGAAATTATGCATGAAACGTAGACATTTAGTAAGTTAATTTAATATCTATCTTTAATGTTGTTTATATATTTTTGTTGCTGTCCTTTAATCTATTTTATTCTTGCTATGATAAAAGTTGTATTATTTCCCTATGGAAAATAAATTTCCAAATAAATTTAATTCTCATTGGTTGAAATAATTAGAACCTATGAAATATGCATAATTATTTCTTTGTTACATAAATCTTTGTATTAAAAAAAGGTAAGAAATTTGTATGTTGAATCAGTAAAAAATTCTTAGATAAATTCGAAGATGAACAGTTTGTTTTTTATTATTTCACGGCTATAAATTATAGTCTATGAAAATTCAGGAGCAGATGTATTACGATGGTGCAACTATATTCATTATTTTATAATCGAATATTTCTTGAGTTTCAATAATATATCATACTTTTCATTTTACATGTATTATTTATCCCTTTTGAACTGTCATATGTTTCCACATCATATTAACTCATCGAGTTAATGTCACCGTAGTGTGCTGATGTATAATAGTGATAAATAGACTTGATCCACTTACATTGTTTATGTCAAAGTTATTGACATTACATCTTGATTAGTTTCCGGTATATGCTGTCTTATTTGAATAATCAATTTTGATTACAGGATGGATTTTCATATTTAGTTTTTTTTCTCCAACATTATTCAGAAGTATTCTTCATAACTAACCAAACTTAATTATTGTGAATAGTCAGACATTATAAACACAGATATCTTGCGAGTCTCGATAAAATTATTGAGGTAACTCATTTTAACGTAGTTGTATCTTTTGCTGTTAAAGACATCGAATCAAATTGTGCATTCTTACATAGGCAAGCAACTAATTAGTCCTTTACCAAGTTTAGTTAGATATTATAACTAAACAACAGATTCATTTGTATTGATTGTAGTTTCCTGGACTCAGTGGTTAAGTAAATTATCCGATATCTTTTGAAGCGAGCGGTACTGCGTTCAAGTCCTGGAGCGAACATCAACTCTGGAATCATGGTACATTCAGCTTACGAGTCTCGAATAGGACGAAACGCACCTTCTTCATTTCACTGCTAGCCACCATCCATCTCTGCTTATAAACGACTAAATTCATGTTTAAAAAACTCATAATTAGTGTGTATCCAACCGAGATGAATGAGTTTGTTTAATGTTTTCAATTATGATTTGCCATCATAAGCCAAAAACGGTATATGATAATCTTTTTTTCAATAATCAGTTGTGAAAATATCAACTGGAGTAGTTATCCAACAAATTTAAAAATCTATCGGAAAAAACCGGTGAACAATGGATCACTTATTAGTCTGACTGATATGTAGCAGGACAGTAACTTCCTAACCAACTACTAGTTTCCCCATGATTCTTCTGCACTTGAGCTGCGGATGATGGGAAGTCTGAAGTAATAACAGAAGTTTTGTTTCAATGTTTATTTATGTTCAGAAAACAAGAATGTTTATAAGTGTATGAATGGTCTGGGTAACCTTCTAGAAACACATCAGACTTAATAACAGACTAAATAATTATCCGATCAAGTCTGATAATGCAACCCTCCGTTAGATGCCTATCGGATGCTATGGTTTACAGACCTTTCCTAGCTTCTGAAAACGTTTTAGAAGAATCCCCGTTTTCTCATTACACAATCATTTCGCGAACAGTAAAAATAATAGTTATTGTTTGTCTGTCCTCTCTTTTCCACATAAACCATTTACTCCACTTGATAATCAGATATAATGTTGTAACCAAGATCACATATGGGGAATCTTTCCTTAAAATATAAGAATCATACACTAAACATTTCATGTGCAAATTTGCATTATTAGTCGTTTACATTCTGTATGATTTTTCCAGTCCACAATTTTTTCTCCATTTGTTCTCTTCAACTCAGTTTTCTTAGCCTTCTGCTGTCGGGTTTTCCACTTCCGATTAGTGTTGCATACTACTTACGTCTATTCATATAAGTAGCATACACCACAAAAAGATCATTAAATTATATGTGTCATTGTAAAGATAAAATTTGAAATGCTATTGTTTTAACATTTAAAACATTCGACTTCTAACGACATAATTATAATTTTCAACCTCAGTTTTACCCATATTATGTTAGATGTTCTGTCAGATAGTATCATTATCTTCCCACATGCAGTAATAATACATAGGGTGAGGGTACTTATTTATTACAACATTACATTTAATTTTCATAAATTCATAATCCGTTTAAAAGTACCTTTGTTTTTTTTGTGTGTAAAATTAGAATAAAATGAAAAAATATGTCACTATTCGATCATAATTTCATAAAATGTACTTTGAAAAAAAGGATAAATTCGTTAATCAATTATAAACATTTGTTATTGTTATTATTTGTAAATTTATCTCATTATCATCATCATCATGAACAAAACAAAACAAATAAAACATGATTAGTGATTATTTGTACAATTAAACTGTATTTAATTAGTATACAGTAAACAAAGACTTAAGTAGGAAGAATCAATTTATTGTTTAATGCAATATTACAGAATATCTTCATCAATTACAAAAAAAACCCATACATTAAATACATCATTTACACATCATTCATGAATTGTCTCTTACAAACTTTATCATTCCTTCATTCTTGTTGTTATTACAATTACTCTCTGTTTATAATTCTGTTCTCTTCAATTCAATCTCAATCTTCTGCTAAGAATGCATTACACTTGTGATTGGTGTTACATACTACTTATATCTGTCAACATAAGTAACATGCACTACATGTAAATTTTGTCAATTTTTAATCAATACCGTAAATTTATTTTGACTTTTTTTTCGAATTAATTAATAAAAAGTTTTAAAAAAAATTTAAAAAATCCATAAAAATCAGAATAATAATGAGTGACGTAAATTTTTTTTAATCTGTAAGTTAATCTTATTATTAATTTGTTTTAGTGAACAAAATAAAATTTAAAAAAAAATATCTGAATATTTATGAATTAAGTTAAGTCTTTCAATTTACAATCACTAGGCGATGGAATCAAACCTTGTTCTATCTACTTTAGTTTAAACAACTGGTTAGTATCACCAGTCCTATAACTAACAATATGGTTTAAAGCTAAGTACACTAATCTATATCAGAGAAATGACTAGATAATAAAAATGAATAGAATGAATACATTGTATATGTAAACAAATGTTAATAAAGCAATAAAATCTTGACCGATTTCTTTAACATCTCTTCGCAAATATCTTTTCATTTTATTATTCAAATAAAACTAGGTGATTTACTTAGATCTGTTCATCTTATATGCAGCAACTATTCACTAAACCAATTTTATAAAAAAAAAATTACCGAAAGTGATAGATATAACACATGTTATTGATTATGAATAACCTCAGTTTATGCATAACCACAAATGTTGAATCATTCGATATTATTCTTTGATTAATTAAAATTGTAAAACTTTAAGTCCGTAGATTACAATTTCATCGCTTGAAATTTACTAATTACATAATGTTACTACCTGAAAATATTTTATTTAGTTCAATTCCATGTTGAACTATAAGTACTCAATGTTTCGCCAGCTATATGTCAGCTTATTGTGAAAACTATCTTTTAAATGTATTACAAAACAATTCACTTACTTACTTTATGAATTTCATTTATTTCAAGCTTTAATTTATTTATTTTTTCTTTCTCTAAATTATTTAAATATATTTGAGCGTATATTATCAATGTAAATTTGTTTAAAATGTCACTTTAAATAAACAATTTGTTCACATGCTTATTCAGAATGTATGTGTAGATATTGTCAATGAATTAATTCATTTAGAGATTACATTATTGCATAAAAAAACAACAACCTAATAGTGAGTCAATCAATCATTTATACATTTCCATTCATTAAATTCACTTTATAGTCAATGAATAAAGCCGATACATTTATGATATGCCGTAAAATATCACAGTTATATGTTTTGCATTCATTCGTACCTCTCACTATATCAAACCTAATATGGTAGATAAACTTCCCTATTCCATTAGTGTTGTCATCTGTTACGTAAAAAGTTAGCTCTTCTACTAGTTATTATTATCAAAATCAGTAAGCCCATACAGTAATTAATTTTGATGATAGTTTTGCCATTGACTGAGATTAACTAATGAACCATTGAGAATAAATTATTCCCGGACATTTTTTTCATACTAGTGTGTGACTTTGATGATACACATCCTCGTTAGGGTCTTATTATAGACCACTCAGATCAAGCACTTGTCTGGGATCTCAGTGATACATGTTTGCAACCAGTCAACTTGGTATAAATTGCTATAATCTCCATTTATTACTTAATGTTATGCAAATGATGTGTGAGCGAGAATGATTATGATTGGTTGTCTGCTTAGTCAGACATGTAGATAGTCTGACAGGTGTCAGATGAGTTATATATCCTCTTATCCCTATTATTACTACTCACTTATTACTGACTATTCATTACTGTTGGGTTGTGTCGGGTTTTGGTGCGGAAATATATTTATGTTGTGGTCAGGCTAATCACGTGTTCTTGATCTGAGTTATGTTGAAGTCCTGTAGAATAGATACTGGGGGGGGAATTTAGTGTAGATATTCGTCTAAAGTAAATTAACGTCCCATACATGTAAACGTGGAAACTCAACCGCTATAGCATTAGACAAAGTAAAACCGAGCATTATAACAGTAAGTTATTATATCATTCCAATCTTCCTTAGTTAGTTAACTAACTTATTCATCCATCTGATTGCTTGACTAAGTATTTTAAACGCTTTAATAATGACTATGTAGTCCTTTTGTAATCTATCTTTAATTAATGGGTCAATTTTGGAAGCACTATTTATTTTCACAGTTTAAATCACGGATTGAACTTAGCTAGATTACCATTAAAAAACTGAAAGGACTGGATGGCCGTTTTGTTCTAGTTCTATTTTGGAAGTGTGCATTCACGATCGCTCATCCAGGAATTCAACAAACGACATCTGATCACAACCGGCAATGCT